AAAAGTTTTTCATGTACCAAATGCATACAAGTACACAAATTTCAGTTGTCGATCATATCCCAATGATGTGTCGGGGATAGCTGTAATCAAATTCGTTTGGCAAAGCGAATTATATGGTTACATCTTGATAACATTTTATATGAGAATGTTTTCCGGGCGAAACATATTTCTTTATAATTAATAAAAATTAAAGAAGCAATTCTGTATATATGATACACATGTACAAAAGCATTATTTGTGTAAAGGAAATTGATCAATATTTTTAGTTCTACTGATTCTACATATTTTTTTAAATTTAAAATTTAAATTTCAAAAAAATCGGTTCGTAAATTCCATTTGAAACATGCTTAAAAAAAAATTGCAATTTTTAGCGCCGACAGGCTTTTTTTGCTTAAAAATTGAAGGGTGCTGAAAAAAAAATCAAAAGCAAAAATATCATATTCTAAACCGCTTTTAAACCATACCAAGTGAGAGTAACAAAGGATTGCTCAAAAATTTCACCAAAAAAAATAAAAAAATATTTCAATCAGCTTATTTCGAAAATATAAAACATTTAGAATTGTTTTTATAATTTTTACGATTGCAAAATTTCGGAAAATAATTTCAGCTTGGTGGCCTAATAGATATATGTATATGGCATTATTAGAAACTATAAATGGAGCGACAAATTTAGAATACATTTCGCTTATAAGTTTTTTCAACATAACGCTTTAACGGAAAAGATCACGCGACAAATAATATGCGGACATTGTTTGCTTTTAATTTCTTATAAGAAACTTTGTATGTGTAGCACATTATGTATAATATAAATTCATGTATGTAGTACATATATGTACTATATATGTATTTAGGTGTGTGTGTGTGTGTGTGTGTGTGATTAGTGTGTGAATCGTATTATGTGATAAAAAGAATGTAAGTATCAAATAGTTTTGTAGCACAACAAAAAAAGAAGAATGATTGATGTGAACTTTGATTTTTCTTGTGTTCTTTTGTTTGTTGGCAGTTTTTATATAATTTAAAGATTATTTGACAGCTTTTTTCATCTTGTCATTACACTTTTAAAAATTTAATTTGTCATTGTTATAAATTTTATTATTTCCGAATTCGCAAAATTGAAAGCTAAAGGAAAAGCATAAGCACAAAGTAGCATAAAAAAAATTAAAGAAACTTTTATGGAAGTGAAAGTGGAAAGAAAAAAAAAGAAACAATTTATTCAAGAAGAAAGAAAAAGTTCATTAGTTCAAAAATTAAAAAAAAAAAATAATTTCAAAAATTTTTCATTCAAAAATTTCATGGCATAAAAGAAGCTTCTGTGACAAATTAATCGTTACAAATAAAGTGTAAGCAGGTATGTACATATATAATATTGAGGCGTATAAACAAAAAAAAGTGAATATGAAACGATCGTAAAAATTTCAATTCATATTTAATGTATTTGCACATTAATACTATTTCAGATTCAGAAAATCTGCTTTGTATTAATAACCAAAAATCAATTTTCTAAAAATTTTAAAATATTAAATTTAGGGTCTTAAAACAATGAACTCCGCACTTTCATTAGAAGCCGATTTCATTACACCGAATTTTAGCTAATGAATTTTTCAGGGATTTCGCCTATAATAATTATTTCGATTACAATAAAGTCTTCTGGGAGCCGAATTTTTATTTTTCTATAAGTACTTTAACTAAAGGCTTTTTAATTTCTCTGCATAATCTTACACAACACTTTCACCAACCAGAAAAAACAATGCGGCCGGTCATATGATGATCACATCAGAGTTTTTTACACTTCTCATTTGACATTTATATATTATGTATAATCCAATATAGAAATAATGAGAAATGATAAAGAATCATAAAAAATTATTTCATGTAGCTAGCCGTATCTTTAAATACCTACATACATATGTATGTATGTAGTTTTCGAATAATATATCTAGTTATTGAACGACTCTCATCATATACTTATTTATTAATTTAATCAAAAATTCGTGATCATATACATATAGAAAGTAAACTTCTTGATAACAATTTTATTTCACGAATTACACAAAGCATGCATATACAAATAAATGGAAGTAATAAAACAAAAAATAACCCAGAAAAGGTTAAACTTACAGTGGAAAAAGGGAAAAACAAGGTCAAATTTTCACCAGCATATTAAATATTTCTCATTTTGTTTAAATAATATTATTTTGTTCCGTGTTGTACTAATCTAGAATAAAATAACGAAAATATCAAAATTATTATGTTTCATAAATACTCGTAAGAGTTGGGTATTTTTTGTCACTGAACTACTGGATATTGTAGACAATACTTAAAAGTTATTTGAAATCAAAATTATTCAATCATTTAGTAATTCAAGTTTTCCAATCAATCAAATTCAATTATAATTTTTTAAAATTTATCAAAATTTGTTAATTTTGAAAAATAAATCTGTCAATTCAGTTCCATGATCGTTGCCACCTATAAAGTATTTCTCAGCTATATGGCACAATAATGACATTCGACACCTTCTTTTCATAAGTAGGTCAGTGTTAGTCTTCCGTAATATCCTCCGTCGAAAACAGTCGGCGTCAAATATCTACCTATTTAAGTGATTGTGATATATGATAAAAAAGAAAAATTAGTTCTTTTATTGTATAAACGGTAGACGATGAAAATTTTTTTATGCGAATGTGTTTGTTACATTAATCTTTATGAATTCTATATAAAGTGCACAAGTGTATATATGTATGTACATTTTTATATATAATATTTGAGCTGTACTCATATCGCATTAGAATTATAATTAAATATTTATTTAAAAATTTCATTTAAGATATACATACAAATATAACAAGCACTTAGTTAATTAATTTTTTTCATTTTTACATTAGTAAATCCTCATAAAGTACTTAATTAAATTGCCTTTATCATTTTATTATTCATTTGTTATGTGCAAATACTACTCGTTTTCACTATATCATACCATATGCATATATACACACATTCACATATGTATATGTTCAGTTTGTATAAAAACAAACATTATTGAATTAAGTATACACTGAATATACATGTGTATGTGTTAGATATTATAGTAAGTATGACATATTATGTTATACTAAGCTTGTGATATTAGTAACACTACTTTATATTTCTTAAATAAAACGTGCAATTTTTATCTATCATATTTTGCATAAGAGTTTCGCGTTTTTAACGCATTAAAATCCCAATTTAGCCCATTGATGGCTTATGCATTAATGGTTTGTACTGTAGATAATTATTCTGAAAATCTAAAAAACAGTTAAAAATAATAAAACTCGGTTGAAAATTTTTGGGATGGAAAAAATCATGCCACAAAGTAAATATATATAAATAGTGGAAAAGTTTTGAAATTTACTTACATAAATATTTTAAATAATAATTATAATTAGAAAATTTACTAAATTAAATTTATTTAATAGAGCTTCTAGTGCCGAATAAAAATCACTAAAAAACTAATCCTTTGCAGTACGTCGATAAGTTATCTCGATAAAATTTTTAACACCATTTCATCATTTTAGTTTCGATAAAGTCATTTCCTTTCTTATAAATAACTTAAAATTCAAGAGTTAAACTTTGTCTTGTACAAGAATTAGTTAATGAACCTCGCTTTGAATCATTTCGCTTAAAATCTAAAATTTCCCAAATACTTTTTTGTTTTTAATACAAATATGTAACCACAGGTTTAGACAAAATGATGGTTTAATATATACTAAAAAATAAAATGTGAGAAATTCATCGTAGAGAAAAGAATTTTTGATAGGCAGTTCTTCTCGAAATTATCGTTAAGTCAACATTATTAAGAATATTATAAATGAAAACGATTTTGCTGTAGAAAGTTATAATCTATAAAGATTTTCGATAAACGTCTTTCGACATATTGTCTAAATTAGCAAAAGTATTCCAGAATATCATGAAAATGCATTTTAAACACTTGTTTACAATTTTAAGGACGCTAATAAGCTTTTAGTTAACATACCTAAAAAATATGAATTTGGCTCTTAGTAGAGTTTCACTTTGTGACGTCCGAATTAAACGAAAAGTTCGTCGGTAACTTCTGGTAACAACCAAAGCTCAAATATTAAATTTCAAGAATCTCTATACATTCGTTTGGTAGATATGATAAAATATGTTCAATTTCATCAAAATCGGTTCTTTTAAAAAATTGCGAACTTGAGATATGTACACGCGTGCACACACAGACCGACAGTCGGACTCGTTGCTAAAGAAAGTTTATTTACTCTTCGCTACAATGGAAAAGTACGATACCACAGAAAACTCGACATGCAAAATTTGTTGCCATCACATAAGCTCTCTTATTGTATGCAATGCGGTCTATAATTATAATCAATTATAGAAATTATTGGAATTGATATAACACTGAAAATGCAAAATTTATACTTATGGAAATACTTTGATTTTGTACACGTACGAAATTTCACTTTCCTTAAAATTAAATTTTATAAATTTTCTTATAGTTTTTACTACATATGCAAGATCATAACATGCTAATAAGTATAAGCATAATAATTTACTCTTATGTATGTGTACATATAAGTTAATAGCTTATATGAAAGTTAATAAAAATATAAGCAGAATGAAAATTGCAGTACTTATATAGGAAAATTCGAGTTTCCTGGTCTAAAATGAAATTACAAGTCATGTACTGGGAAAAATATGTTTTATTTTGTTTAAGTGTTGATATAGTAATGATTATCAACCATTACCACTTCGAGAATTAGTTTTTGGAGAATTTCAATCGCTAATAGATAACCATATTGGAAACTTCAAAATATTCAGTGTATTCAATTAAAATTTTAATTACATTTATTACTCTTCTAAAAAATTGTGTCTATTTTAAAATTTGATTACATAATTCTCTTTTTTTATATTTTTATAGTTATAATGTATAAATTTTTTTGTTTAATAATTATTTTTTTTCATTATTATTATTTTTTTTTTTCTTATTACAGCCAAATGAATCCGGTTTCGTATTACTTGGTGATTTATCATTAGAAACTTCAACTGATCCAGATGATTCATGGACAATGGGTCCACCATCACCGTGTAACGTTGAATTTGAAAATGCAAATATTATTATTGATGGAAAATCGAGTTTACGTTTTCGTTCAAGAGATGGAAGTGTAAGTACATACTTAATTTATATTTAAGAATAGATTAATAATTTACTTAAGAACCCCACTAAAAATTTAGTTATTACAATACAATTATTATTTGCGGAAAAAAAGGCCATACGAAAGCATGTTGTGTCTAAGATTTTATTCGATTAAAATAATGTCTTTGATATCTTCCGACTATGTAATTGTTTTACAAGTCATTGCGACCCTCAAAAAAAACATCAGATAAAATCAATTATTTCAACTATAACTTGATGATTTTTCGATAAGAACTGAAATTGATATTGATAGTATTTTTGTACACAAATTGAAAAATATTGTTTAACATAACAAGGAAAAAAGCAAAAACATTATTGCTTAAAATCCTAAAATATTCCTAAAAAGTTATTTTTTCTGGGGTTCTTACTGTCGTATTTGAATTGTTTTTTAGAAGCGAATTATAAATTTTTATGGTAAATTTAGAAAAATTTTTTTCTAAATAAAATGTTGTAACGATACCAAAGATTTTGTTCACAAAATTTTATCCACTATTCGAGTTTGGGTTAGAAAAAAATGCACAATAGAGGTACATATATAAAAGCAGCAGTATTTTTGGAGAATTCTCATAAGTTTTTTTTTCAGTTTTGAAAAAAAAAATTTCTTGACATAAAGGGAGTTGCCTTAAAAACTGAGCGTCCCTGATCCCTAGTTAATTCAGCAATACCGAATAATAGTAATAAATATATGTATATGGATTTAGTTGACTAAAAAAATTTTCTTATTACCATTAAATTTATAATTTTACGTATATTTTAGAGAAATCTAAATCTGATAATTTTCATAAAATTTATACTAGCAAAAAGGTTAAATTGAATTAATATTTAATTTAGTTAGAGTGCAATAAGTTAAGCATAACTATTTGTAAGAATATAAATATGGTGCTTAGATTTTTTAATATTATTAGAAAATTAAGAAGCCATGCCAACTCGATTCGATAGAGGGAGGAAGGTATAAAAAAATGCTGCTCCAGAGTAAAATAAAATGCTAATCGACTTCTAAGTTTATTCAATTATTGAACAAATGGTTTTGTTTTTGATTTGGACTTAGTAATATTTCTAAAATTTTATTTTTTTTACTTAGAAAGCGAAAAAAGAGTGAAACGGTTCAAATTTTGTTCTAAAGATAAATAATGTTTGCACTACGAGCTGATTTGAGATTTCTACTTTTAATTTTGTGTAGAAGTTTGTTTTGAACTGACAGACTTATGTACAAATAAAATAAAATGAACAATTCAAACTAAATTACATAAATACATATTGCAAAACAATGATTTTTTTGCTCAATAAATTGCTTAACTTTATTTTTAATTCTGACAATTTTAAATTAATTATTGTTAATGTTAGCTAAAATATAAGTTAGATAAAATATTTTCTTTGCAAATTATAATTTTTTTTTGTATACAATCTCATATAAAAATTGTGAATACTAACTGATATTTTTATTTAATGAAATAGAATCCAACCATTGGTTTGCAAAGTAGCACTTTTCGCTTAAACAAGTAAAAACACTGGTTTTAAAAGTAATAAACATTATTTAAATTATGTACTTTCATTCCTATACTCAAATATGTTAAATTATTGTATATAGATATATAATATAAGCCTTAACATAATAGTCGAATTCGACGGTTAAGTAGGTGAGTTAAAATAAGTAATTATGTATATCTTTGGATGATATGGCATTTTCCGTTAGCTTTTCGCTTTTATAAAAATCTAAGTATAAAGTTGGACAGAGCGAAACTAATAGGCACATTTTTCCAGTTTATTTTTTGAAAGATGGTTAAAAGGATATGATTTTGTTCCATACTTTACTTATGTTTCATGTCTCAAGGTATCTTTTTATTAGTGTTGCCGTAATGTTTGTAATATTCAATATACGTACAATATATGTAAAAGTACCCAGTTATATTGCATTTTTGGCAGGTTTTATAATTATTCCAATGTTATTTTATTGGAATTCATATGTACATATAGGTCTTTATTTGAAACTTATTTCTGTAGAAAAATTTTTTTACCTATATATAATTATTTTTCTTAACTCACGCAATTAGCTCTTAAATTCGATCATTATATTAACGCTTTTATATTTTTTTCGTTTTATTTGATAGTTGTTTTATAAGATTGCATATATTGCTCATTCAAAAGGTATGCAATTTGTGCAAAACATTCGTACATAATATGTGAATGAAAGTAATTTTAATAATGTAGTATGTACATTTTAAAAGTTGTATTTTTTCTTCACTTATTGCAAGGAAAAGGGCTACATTACAAACCATTGGTTTGATCCAAATTAATTTTTTTACCTATTTTGTTCAAATTTCAATTTAATTATTATTTCAATATTAACCTCTAAAAGTAAGGTATTATTGACTTAATTAAAATTTTTCCAAAACAAAAAACCAAAAAAAGAATATACTTGGGAAAGTATCGAATTTATAAATTAAAAAATATTTTTTTATTTTATAGATGTCATAATATTTTGTTGTGGAATAAAATATAACAATTAATTTTCTTTACATATGTATATATCATTCTATATGTTATACATAAAGGTATGTATGTACATATTTTTATAATACTTACATACTTATATACATATACATATGTACGTAAAATATTCATTGTATTCATTTACTTTTCACTATTTATTCTATGTTATGTCTTCAATTAATCCGGAAATTCGATATTATTTTTGAATTATAAATTGAAATTTATTTAAGTGGACACGTTCGATATACATAGGCATATGTACAAACATAAGTATATATTTATTTAGGGATACAAAAGGCCGTTAAATAACATATTAATGATGATTTTGTGTATAAAAATAAAATGGAAAAAGTTGAGGGTTTAAGATTTAGAAATTTATTACGCTCGTATATGATCATTCTTTTTACCGGCCGCATTGCATACAATGGGAGTTTATAAAATAAACTATTTTTAGAGAGATGTCGATCTGTAGTCTTTCGGTTTGTTTTTACACGCATGTATCTCAAATTCAAATAAACTAATTTTAATGGAAATACAAACATATGAGTTTACTTTGGCTATGTATGTCACGAATTAATCAACTTTTGCAATATATTAGTCTTCGGAAACTAAACCGATTTTATACATTTGGTAACCGTTTTTCAAAAAATATTAGCTTGGTTAAATTGAAATTTAAAATAAATTGAACAGAAGTTTCGTCCAAATATATGAGAAACCGTGTAACATTTTGCCAAATTTACATTTTTGTGCATATAAAGAGAAATAATCAACCAATTTGCTTGAAACTAATACTTAAATTTAGTATGTTAAACAATGAACGTGTACATTTTTTGAGAATATCTGGTCTCGAAAACCAAACTTCAATTAGGTTTCGATTTTACATTTTTACTAATTAACATTATTTCTAGAAATTTAATTATTAAGTTCTGTTTGCTACCGAAGATAATTCACGAACTTTCAAGGGAAATCGGGTGGCATAAAGTGAATCTCCTCTAAGAGCCAAAAATACATGTTTCTAGGTATGCCCACTAAGGGTTTTGCTAGTGTTGTTAAAATTTGACGAAAGTGTTTAAAAGACATTTCCATAATCTTGTGTAATCTTGTGCAATTTTCGCTAAACCAGCCAATACACTGTTTTCCGTATTATTAATTGGTCTATACTACATAGTTCAGTATTCCAATTTTTCTTTTCTTTAATTTGAATAAATATGCAGATATCATAATACATTATTTAACTAATGTATTTAACTACTATTCGTATTCAAATATTTATATTTGTCAAAGTTTGTTGTACATATTATGTATTATATCAAAAAATGTCAATTAAAACATTAAAAAACAAAGAAAAATTAAAAAATATTTTCAAGGAAATGCTCTTCCGTCATTCTTTTTTCAATATAAAAAAAAACAGAGCTTGTATGTCTATAATCATGTTATTATAATATTTTTTTTTAATTAGGTAGTTGATGCTAATAAAATAATTTAATTAATTAAATTAATTATGTTTATGTTTAGTTTATGTCATTTAATTAGGTATAATTTTACTATATTTGATATCAGTAATGAAAAAACAATAATTTACTATAAATACTTTTTATTAATTTTGTAAAATGAAAAGTTCAAGGAACATTTATGATTTTCAATAAAAGTTCAGGTGCCAACTACCATATGATTGTATGTACGGACACGCCTGCGTATAAAAAAAATTTGCAATTTTAAAGATTATTAAAAATTTGTTATATTTTTTATTGCTTTATGGGTATTCAATGTACATTGGGCATATTATTAAATATGTATATAAGTACTCAAGCCATTATGCAAGTTTTTATAATTATAATTATTTCGTTACGAATACGTTGAAGTAGCCATTGGTTGTCAGCAAAAATCCTCTCTAATTATGCTCTAACTCACACCTCTTTTAACATCTAAATTTTGCCATCCATGGGGCCCTCAAAACAGTTTCGAAATTTATTAACGAATATGTAAGTTATTTGCTTTTATTGCAATATTTTTCTTATCTTATGAAGCTGTGTTTTCTGCTAAATGTTTGTATTTTTAAATTTTGGGGAAAAAAATTGATTGAATTATTTCCTATTTTGAAATATTGAAAAAATAACAAGAAAAACTCCTTTATTTCAAGTAAATTCTTAGTAAATGAATTTTAAATTTTCGGTGTGCTTTAAGTATATTTCTTGAATTTAAAAAACATTTTATTCTAAAATTTATTAACTATTAATATATTCACTTTAATTCTTTTTTTTATTAAAATAACAATATTTGCGAAATATTGAACTCGATATAGTGTTTTTTTTTTATTTTCAACATTTTTTTCCTCAATAATAGTGATGATTGGAATGCAATGATTAAAAATGCAAAAAAATATGCAAATAAGCTCAGTCGTATTTTGTATAAGAGTATAAACTTATGTATATATTATTCTTCGATATTCTAAGCATGCATGTAAATAAATAATTATGC